ACCTTGGGTCTCGAATTGGCAAACAAGCAATCTTAGAATGAGATGGATGAATATGGAGCAAACCGTACACTGTTACTCCCTCCGTTTCACAATGCAAGTTATTCTAGTATTTTTCACATTCATATTGATGTTAATAAATCTAGACATATATATCTATCTAGATTCATTAATATCAATATGAATATGGAAAATGCTAGAATGACTTACATTGTGAAACAGAGGAAGTAGCATGCAGATCGCAATCTTGCACCTTTGAGTGAATATCCAAGCAGACATGGATTTGGAATTATATTTTTTTTCCTACCGCGAACCACATGTCGACAAATAGTAGACATGAGAGTGTGCTGCACAATTTCTTAAGAATAAAAACTGAAAGTGCAAAAGGCAGGATGCCATTGCATGGTTGCCAAGAAAAAAAATTGTCAAATATCAGTTGTCCCTTTATCATCTCCAAACAACTTGCCTACTTTTGGAGCCACGGATTGTGCCTTTCATGCATGCATATGATGCTTAAGGTGTCTGCATCGTGCAAAGTACATGATTCATACGCAAATTGTTCGGTCCATGATTTTCCATGACGAACTAAAGGGAGCAATAGAGAAAGAGAAAGAAAAGGAAGGCTAAGATTGGCCGTACTTTTTCGAGGTCATTATCACCAATCAAGAGATGCGAAAGTAAGCATAGCACTAGATCAACTTAGACATGATCAACAAAGTGAGTGTAACTCAACTGGTTAAGTTCTTTATGGTGAAATCAGCTCATCCGGGTTCAAGTTCTATATAGACTTAAAACGGATGTTCACATTTATGGCTACTTTGACATGGGTATTTGTATTTACGGCTAATTATTCTTTAGTGGTTTTCCAATCGACAATGAGACGTCCACGATGATTTTGTTAATATTAAGATATGTCGGCTCAGTGTTTAGGATGTGCTTATAGAGCATACGGTTGAGTGCGAGTTGTTGTGAGTGACTATGTTTGTACCGTGTTTTTTTTTTAAAAAAAAAGTTAGACATGATAGATAGACCGAAAAAACCATTAGGGGATGAATTTGTTCGAGCGAAAAGTAAAGAGAGGATGCGATGAATCGAACATGAACACGAAAGAGAAAGACGGAATGATTGATCAAGGTGCCTCCTCTGCCCAACTGTAGTGATACCTCTATTAATTAAATTGCGCCATTCGTCCCTAATTTCCTAGTGCTGGCATGGTAGGGCTTGAAATTTAAAAGGCATGTTCACCTATCAGACTACTCCCTCCGTCTCAAAAAAAAGACAACCTAATACTAGTATGTGACACATAGTACTAGAATGTGACACATCCTAGTATAACAAATCTAGATGTAGAGTGTACATCTAGATTCGTTATACTAGAATGTGTACATCTAGATTCGTTATACTAGAATGTATCAGATCGTAGTACGATGTTGAGTTTTTTTTTTGACGGAGGAAATTCATTTGAAAATCCTATCTGTTCTCTTTGAACAGATGCTTTGTTCCCTTTCAGTCTGGGGGATCTGATAACAGAGACGTGCCCTGCCATTGTGCAGCAATCAGAGAGACTAGCAGATGGAGCCACCCCCAAAATATTGGACAGAAAACAAAAGAGAACTGTAGCACACACTGACCTTTTAATCCTACTGCTGTCTGCTTGTCTATTGTACCTTCAATTCCATCGCTGTATTGCAACTTGCATATGCCAATAACTTTAAGCTCTTTAATTGATCGAGTAGAAGAGATAATGGTCCGGATAGGCACGGTAGAGATCTCCTAGAGCTAACATGCTTTGATGCTAGGATCCTTTTGACCCAATTTTAATTCTGGTCCATTGGAAATGATTTTGTTTTTAAATTGAGAAAAAGAATGTTGTGTGGTGTAGCATTATTCTTTTTGGGAAAAGAAAGGTAAAGCACATCTAGATGGGGAATGGTATAAGGCTGCGTTCAGGAGGGCAAGTTCCCAATCTTGCCTCCCAACACGGAAAACAAAGCACACAGTTACAGTGAGATTAATTAATTATTAGCCTAAAAACTTGTAAAATGGATTAATATGATTTTTAAAGCAACTTTCATATAGAAAACTTTTACAAAAAAAATACACCGTTTAGCAGTTTAAAAAGCGTGCACGCGAAAAACGAGGGAAGTGAGTTGGGAAAGAGAGGAAAAGTACACAGTCTAAGCCTATTTGGCATAACCCCGGCTCTAAGAAAGATTTGAAGCTAGATAGGGTGGAATTGTTCGGCGAGCCATATTGTTTATGTCAGTCGCTAATCTGTGTATTGTACAAGCAATTATTATTCATATTAGAAATATCAAAATTTTAATCATATACTAATTAAATATGTGGGCTATTTTTCTATTATTATTATTATTATTATTATTATTATTATTATTATTATTATCAAAATAAGAGTTCACCTCCATTACAACCTGCTACTTATTTGTAAAATTTAAAATGTGGGAACTAAATTAACAATAATACTTATCATGTTGAAAGTCCAAGATGGGTATGACTTTATAGTATTTATTAATTTTGAGGTTTTTGAATTGTTAATTTTTTGAAAAGCTAAAACTAAAGAGTCCATAGAATTTTCACTTCTTTGTTTTATTTTAGTATAACATGTGGTCATGATAGTAAGATTTATACAATATATGTTTCAAGTAAACCCCACATAACCATATGTATTTCCTTTTTGGGGTTTTACTTAAAAACATAATATTAAGCCATTTAATTTTAGTCTACCGACTTTATACTATGGAGTACTCCCTCTGTCTTAAAATATAAAGGAGTCGCATCCCTCCAAAATCCCTTATATTATGAGATAGATTGAGTAGTTATTAGTTGTAGCTCTACTAAAAATCAAGTTAAACAGTATAATGAATTGAAATGTCATTGATTTTTTTTAAGTAACTATCAATATTCCAAAGATGGTTCAATGAAATACTACTATCAACGACTGGTCGATCGATTTATCCCTGTGAATAAAATCTGCATCCACACAAACACACACCAGTGGCAGTGCCCTCCACTTTGGCTAGGGAAGGGAATAAGGTGCCCCGGAAGGGGCGGATCGAGTGCGTTCGCGGTTAAACTATTGGCGGGAAGGAAGCAAGTACAGATGCGCACATTCAAAGGGAATATTCTACGGCAGAATCATTGCCACTTTTTCTGGTGAAGAGAAAAAGTCGGCGCAGGTGTATTTTTCCGCAGAGGTATTTTGGAGCTTATGGCAAAAAGAAAGACAAGCATCGCTCACCTTACATTAGCTTATGAAGGCTGCATTATATATGCTTTAATTGCAAATCATGTTCTAAAAGGGATTAGCCACCTTCTGTCTAAGAGCAATTTTAAAAGTATAGCCAACTACTGCTTCCAATTCATCAATAGTTAATCTAATACTTCAGCTCATTCATATAATATTTACATACTACATTATTAATATCTGGTCCTACCTATCATACACACGTTGTGTCTTGGAGTTCATGCTACACCTGATTATAAATCTGTAGCCCGCTGCTCTTCTCTCTCCTCGTTTATCTTCTTAAAATATGTTTGCAGTTGGCTTATATTATACCTGCTCTAAGTACTAGTAGTTGATGAATCGGTAAGAAACAATATTTATTGATGTTCAGAACCGTGTACTAATCGGTAAGTAGCAATTAAGCATTAAACAGGTAGGGAGGAAAGCTCATAGAAGTCATGTTAATTAAGTACTAATACCACAGTTTCGGGTAAACGAAAAGGAGAAGTAGCTGGATCAAGCAATCGTCGAAACCATTATGCCCGTTTTTCTTGTCAACTGAAAGCAGTAACCAGAAGCACTTGAATTTTTCTTCTGACGAAATGCGCCTGAATTTGACCATAATCTTGTGAAAACGTGTGGTTTGCTGCCCCGGCCCCGTCTCCACGATTTTCTAAAAATCCTCTTTAAGTCCTAAGATACGTAGCCTCGGTTTCCACAAGATTCTTTGAAACATAATAATTGAAAAACTCAGGAATAGAAAAAAACTAAAATTAAGGTGGCCGGTTAGTGCAATCATAAGGAATATGAAAATACAGAGAATACTCAGTTGTGTTGTTTAGATGCTTCACTGGAAAACAATACAGGAATTCATAGAGACGATGAAAAAACATACAAGGCAAAGTGAGCTTCGTTTAACTGGTCAGATTTTTTTCTTTTAAAAAAAGACTATGCATGTAAGTTTTAGTTGTTGAATTGGTGTAGGTGTTTATATTCGATTTTGCTATATCTCACTCGAAAGATTTTTTCTTATCTCTCACTCGATTTTCTCACTCAAATTTACAGTGCATTTTCTTGTAAATTACAGTGTAATTTATGAAACTTACACTGTAACTTTTGTAAGTTACACTGTAATTTTTGAATCTTCGCATGTAAATTTTAAATTTTGTATTGGATTTGGTCTTTTTCTTGAGGATATGGTAATTTAGTGTCCATTATGGTGTTTCTTAATTGCTTTTTGCTTTTTATTATATCTATCGGATTTTAATCCAAAGATTAAAAATATGTGTGATACAATCATAAAAATCTTTCGAAAGATGTATAGGTACTCCCGTTTATATTTAGGAAAAAGTACGAATAACCCCTCGAACTATCATGGTCGTCCGAATTACCCTTCTAAACCACAAAACCGGACATTCTTCACCCCCAACTATACAAACCGGACAAATTACCCCCCTCGACTCAATCCGAGGTGGTTTTGATATACGTGGCGTACGCGTGGCAGTCCAGTCAGCATTTTTATTTTTTAAAACATAGTGGGGCCCACCTGCCATATAAATATATAATTTCTTTCTCCCCTCTTCCCCTCTCTCTCACTCTCTCTCTCTCCCTGTCTCGACGAACACGGCAGCCCGCGGCGGCTCCAGCGTCGTCGTCGTCGTCGTGGTCCTGCACGGTGGAGCCATCCGAGGTCGCCGTCACCTCCCCTTCTCCACCACCATCCCGGGCCTCAGGTGCAGCGACGGCGGTCTCAGGAGCCATGGCGTCCGCCAGCGGCAGCTCCTCGTCGGCGAGGGGACGGGCCGCCGCTCCTCGTCGCCGTGCCGCACTGTCTCCGTCGCCGCCGTACGTCGCCGTCGCCGCCGGGGTTGGCATGGGACGACACACAGAGCTTCGTGATGCACGCACCGTCGAACACCATTTCGCGGCCGGCGGTGAGCACGTTCCGTCGCTCCCACCTCCACGTCCCGCGCCCCCGCGCGACGGCGTCCACCGTCCACCGCCCGCCCCGTGCGCTGCCTTACGCTGCCGGCCGCCGCGCCTCGCCCGCCACCTGCAGCCGCCTCCACGCCCGCCACCCGCCTCCGCCGCCGCCCACCGCCCGCCGCCGGCCTCGCCTCCGTGCCCGCCAGCCATGGCCTCGGCGCCCGCCTCCGGCCTCGCCTCCGCTCCCGCTGCCCCCAGCCGCCTCCGCTCCCGCCGCCCCCAGCCGCCTTCCCCCGCCCGCCGCCCTCAACCGCATGGCGCCGGCCTCGGCTCCGCGCCCGCCAGCCGCGGCCTCGGCTCCGCGCCCGCCGCCCCCAGCCGCCTCCGCTCCCGCCGCCCCCAGCCGCCCTCAGTCGCCCGCCGTCCTTAGCCGCTGCGCCCGCTTGCCTTTGACCGTGAGAGAGAGAGGAAGAGTGAGGAGAGTGAGAGAGAGAAGAGAGAGAGGGAGAGTGAGAGAGAGCGTATGACAGGTGTGTCCCACAATTTTTTTTATATAGAATGCTGACCGGACTGCCACGCGTACGCCACGTAGACCAAAACCATCTCAGATTGGGTCGAGGGGGGTAATTTGTCCGGTTTATATAGTTGGGGGTGAAGAATGTCCGGTTTTGTGGTTCAGGGGGTAATTCGGACAACCGCGATAGTTCGGGGGGGTAATTCGTACTTTTTCCTTATATTTATGGCTTATTATTTTTTAAGTAGTAGGAGTAGATGATCTACCTGTTGATAACGGCTTAAACGGCCATGCCATATGAATTGCAAAACGGCTTAAAATATAGGGAAATCTCTCAAAGATTCATCCTACAAAAAATCTTTTAAAGAAAAACTTAGTTCCAAAAAAAAATTAAACACCTTTTTTTTTCAAAAGAACCCCTAAGATATGCACGCTCGGTTCTCACAAGATCAATCATCGAACAGATCGACAGTAAACCTGGCAAATCACATCGGGTCTCGATCCGCGGATAGGGCGGGTATGTACTTGTGCTTGTGCGCGAGGCTTTTCTTGCGGTCGTAAGAAAATCCCGTATAAACAAAGCTTAGCTACTCACGTCCCCGTCGCGTTTAACGAACAAGGATCGTTCGGCTGCTTGCGCGCGGCGGGACGATCGACATCGTCGCGTCCTCGTCACCCCGCGCCCCGTCGTCTTGCGCGCCACGTCCGTCCGTCCGTCCGTCCGCGGTCCGCACCGCACCGGATCGAGCGTGCGGCTGCGCTTCCTCCCTCCCCCGCGCGCGCTGCGTGGGTGGGCCGGCCGACCAAGCGCGGCGTTTGGGCGTTTTTGGCCCCACGGTGGCTGAGGAGGCGCCTGGTTGAGTTCGGTCCTGTTCAGGGGCGAAGCCAGATCTGAGATTAAGGGGTGTGCGGTAAAGATAAACCATAAGACCGAATAACTAGTCATTTAAAAATAGTCACCGTCAATAACAAACAATACGTAAACTAGTCCTTTAAGAAAAACTTGAATTTTAGCTCTTTAATAATATCATTGAAAATTTAAAACTAGTCTTTATTGCTAAATTCTTTTAATGTAAACTATTAAATAATCTCACAAATAAGTATCATCTATTTTACTTTGAAAAAGATGAGAAATCATAAACTAATTTTATAGATCATGTTTCTTGCTAATATTTTTAGACTTGCTAACTAACCAAACTGATAATATTTTCAAGCTACACAAAATAAACTAGATAAATACTTATCTTAGCTAACTTAATATAGAGTAAAAACATGAGGGTGTAGTGGTGGTAGTGTTTGGATAGGGGGGTGTTGGCACCCTTTGGCACCCCCCTTACCTTCGCCACTGGTCCTGTTTAGGGAGCTTCTTCCGGCTGCAGTTTTTCTCAAAATTGCTTCTGTTAGAAGCTGCCCTAAACAGTCCACAACTTCTGAGAACATGTAGTTACATATTTTGAAAAATGAACTAAGAAGCCAGAAGCTGGAGAAGCTGGGTTTCAGAGCTTTTCCAGATTCTCAGAAGCTGGCTACCAAACAGCTACTTCTCAAAATCTAAAGCTCCCCCAAATAGAGCCATCATTTCCTCTGATCCCTCTGATACACAAAGCAGAATAATTTATTAGCATATGATTAATTAATTACTCTCTCCGTTTTATATAATACTTCCTCCATTTCAAAATATAAGGCATAACCACCCCTAACTTAAAGACCAAGAAAATAATTATTATCATCTTATAGTTTGGATCATCCTAATAAATACAATGCATGCATCCAATAGAATTAGAGAACATAAGAGTGGAGGATTTAAAAAGTAATAATTTAATGGAGAAGGGGTTATAGTTAATTGCCTACATGCATGCATGCCTTATATTATGGAACATTTAGAAAAAGTGGTTGTGTCTTATATTATGGAATGAAGGGAGTAAGTTGTTTGACTTTTTTTTATTTAAACCTTTTTAAGTTTGATAAGATTTTGTCAGTGTTACGGATAAGATATACTCTCTATCCTTAGATGCATGTTGTATACTGATGCGGTATACCCGCGCGTGTACGAATAGTTTTCGTATACGTTAAGGAAATCTATCACGTGATAGATATGGTATCTACGGATGGAAGGAATTCTACTCGGACGAGACTGGGTCTTTACCATATCGTGAGGGGTCCGATATCTCCGAGTCCTACTTGGAGATCAACTGACCCACGGTATATAAAGAACCTCTGGGCAGGATCTAAGGCATCGAATATCACTGCTAACACACCCACCACAGCCTACGGAGTCGGAGCGTGCAGGAGCCAAGTCGCCGTGAGATCTAGTCGGACCAACTCGACTACGGTCTCGTCGGTATCATCGAGTTCTGCTATTCCCTGTGTAATATGTGGTTTCCATCATATAATCCCATATCAACTGGATTAGGGCTATTACCTACCAAGAGGCCTGAACCAGTATAATCATTGTCTTTTATTTGCTTGATGTCGTACTATGTAGATCCTCGTACCAACGGACCCCAATATCCTCTATATCCGGTCTACGTGTATCCACCGTCAACAGATTTATTGTATTAAAAGTATTACTATATTTTGCTACAAACTTAATTAAACCTAAAGTACTTTGACAAGTAATATGGAAAGGACGGAGTTATAGCTATTCTTTTAAAACAAAATTGGATTAATATGAATTTTTAAAGCAACTTTCATATAGAATTCTTTTTGAAAATATACCATTTAATAATTTAAAAATATGTGCGTGAAAACAAGACAGGTGGGTTGGAAAAGGAAGGAAACGAACTCAGCTGGCAGCGTTTGCGTAATTGCGTTGTTGCGCATGTGACCATGTGGAGTACTGGAGTTTGATGTGGGGTACGGAGCCAAAGTTTTCGGGCAAATTATGAGATTGGAGTGATGATGTATCATTGATAATTTGATAAGTGTGTGCTTTGAAAGTACGGAGGCCGCCCTCGGCCAGCAGTTCAGTACTTTGATAGGGGGTCCGGGTAGACTGGATGCACATGTGCAATGCGTGGCGAAAAGTTGACGGTCCATTCTAGTTGGGCAAAAGTTTTAAAACTTTGGATTTATATGTCCAAGCAAGGGGCTTGATCGGTATAGCTGGCTTCGGCTGCAACTGTTGGAGTATCAATAATGTATTATTTTTGAGTTGGAGTTGTCGCAGTGCTGCCGCTATGCAGCCGGAGCAAAGCTGGACCGATCAGGCCCAATAACTCAGGCCGTGTTTAGTTCTAATTTTTTTCTTCAAACTTTCAACTTTTTCATCACATCAAAATTTTCTTACACATAAACTTTCAACTTTTTCGTCACATTATTTCAATTTTAACCAAACTTTCAATTTTAGCGTGAACTAAACACACCCCATTCTAGTTGACACATCGAAAATTTCAAAAAAAAAATAATTAACTTAGTTGTCACTGGACATTTCGAGACCTGCCCTTACAATTGCCAACCCATTTTTGTACCTAACTCCTATAGATTTCAACAAGAGAAACGACTTCTCTGTCGGGCATTGATTTCGCTCTAGACTCACGTACTCTCTTTGCCCTTATCTGCACCTCGCGTTGCCTTCGGCTGATGCGTTGCTGACAGTGAAGTGGTCCGTCCTCGCGACTTCCTCCAGCTCCAGCAACATCACCCATGAGGGGGTTGGTGAATAATCAAGACGTACTAGCATATATACGATGATCATCATGATCCAGAAAGCAACCCAATTATAGGCCTATAAATTTCACAATTGATATATCGATATCTCCCTGTCCTCTTCCCAGCGCCCGTACTCCACGGTCTAGTACACTCTACACGCCACTGTCCCTTTCACTATTTCAAGTGTGTTTCGTCACCCACGACAAAGCATGCATCAGCTGCCTAAAGAACGGCACACACAACAATGGGAAAAAAATATCAGACGCGATGGAAGCGATGATAAAGAATAACAGAAACGAACGAAAGGGCGGGGGAAAAAACCGCGTGAGCCGCCGGTGCGGGAGCCGTGGGATTGCAGCGAATTCGGGGGCAAATCATGCGTGCGCGCGCGGCCGCGAGCGTACAACGGTGGATCCGCCGGGGCCACCGTGGCGCGCGCGCGAGACCGCGAGCGGCCGAGAGAAAGGCTGTGTTTAGTTCAAGATAAAATTGGAAGATTGATTGAAATTGAAACGATGTGATGAAAAAGTTAGAAATTTGTGTGTGTAAAAATTTTAATGTAACGAAAAAGTTAAGAGTTTGAAGAAAAACTTCGAAACTAAACACGGCCAAAGTGAGAAAAATCGCCCACCACCACCCCCCGCGCGGCGGCCACCGCACATGGGCTGCGTGACGCATGATTTTGTCGCGGACGGCGCCACGACCACCCCCGCCCACGCGCGCGATCCATCGGTCCATGCCCCCACGCAACCACTCGTCTCGTCTACTCTCGCGTCGCGGCGGGACCGGGCTACTGCTGCTCAGTACCACTCACCGTTGTTGCGCCGTGGCCCGCGGCGCCGTCCACCTCGATCGCGCTCGCGCCCCCGTGGATGCGAGACTGTGAGCGCCGAGCGAGCGGTGGACTGATGCGAACAAACACCGAGCAAGCGTACAAATCGAAGGAGCTAAACGCAAAGTAGGCAACGCGGCTGATTTTGTTATGGGGTGACTTACGTAGTTTCCATTCTTCGATGTTTTCGAAGGATAGCAGGATTGGCTATAGCTGATAGAGTGATATGATAGAACGATTCCATGGTTAGTCCTGCAGACACATCTCAAGAAGCTCGAAGGATAGATTAGGATGCGATGACAAAGCGCGCACGACGGCACAAGACATGGAGCAAGTTCAAGATAGTTGGGCCTGTCTTTGTCGGGCTAAAGTCAAAATTTGAAGCCCAGTAAGTCGCTGCGATCAACAGATGATGTGTTGGGCCAGAGGCTAGCCGCCCATCTTCAAATATTGGAATAAGTTCACCGCAGGTCCCACAACTTAACAGCCAAATTTTTTGAGGTCCCTTATCACAAAATCATAAATCTCCACCCCTAAACTATACAAAACCGTTCACTCAAGGTCCCTAGGCAGTGTATATGGGTGGTTTCGCTGACGTGGCATCCTAGTCAACAAAAAATTAAAAAAAAGCACATGAGACCCACATGTCAGCATCACGTTTTTTTTTCTTCTCCTTCTCTTCTCTTTTCTCTCTTCCCTCTTCTCTTCTTCAGTGAGGGAGGGCGGCGGCGGGCGGAGCGGCGTGCTTCCGCTGCGCGCTGTTCGGCCTCGCGGGGCCCAGCCTGGTGGGGCCCACGTGGGCCCCACATGTCATCTCCCTCACCACGCCGCAGCATGCCGACGAATGAGGAGCTGAAGGCGCTTCCATCTCAGCGCTGGGCCGATTTTGCCGTGGGCGACTGCCGCCCAACGTTGCCTTCCGCCAGTGCTCTAGCTAAAGGTGCACACAGCGCAGCGTCGACGACGAGCACCCGTTCCAGTAGGGGGGAGGAGGAGGAGGCTGCGCGCGTACCGCGCCGCGCTGGAGCGCCATTTCGGCTAGTCTCCGGCGTTCATCACGTCAGCGTTCGAGGAGCAAGGGCGGTGCGGCGTCGATGATGGCTCGCTGGACGCGACCGTGGCGGGAGTGTGATCTCTCCTCAAGGAGGCCATCCATGTCGTCAGCTGTGCGTTCGAGGAGAGGACGAGATGGGGTAAAGAGGTCGCAGCTTCGCCGATGATCACTTCGCCTTCCGCTCCCATGGATCACAGGAAAAATTCTCCATGATGATGTTGATGTCGTTGTTCTCGTGCAGATTGGATGGATGTACGGCGGCGGCGTGGTGACAGGGTTCCGGATGCATGCGCGCGGGTGGTCGTCGGCGTACTGCTCACCGGCGAGGCTGGCGTTTAGGAGCTACACGCGGGCCAACCCCACGGACGTCCTCACGAGGGCGTCGCGGTGAGCGGTGGTGGCCATGGGGATCCTGCTGAGCAGGCGGCACAGCCCCGCCTGGGCCGGCTAGGGCGGTGGGGACTCCTGCAGCGGCTGGGCTACGTGACCCGCGTCGCCTACCCGCTCGCCTCCCTCCTGCTCACCGTCTACTGCGTGCTCCCGGCCGTCTGCCTCCTCACCGGTAAGTCCACGTTCCCCGGCGACGTGAACTACTACGACGGCGTCCTCCTCATCCTGCTGCTCTTCTCCGTGGCCACGTCGGTCGTGCTCGAGCTGAGGTGGAGCTGCGTGCCGCTACGGGCATGGTGGTCGGACGAGAAGCTCTAGACGCACACTCTCCAGCCGACAGCAACGACGAGGACTCCGGCGGCAGCGGCGGATCTCGTGTCCCGTGGCCGGGGCAGGGACGGGAGCAGCAGCAGCAGGGAGAAGAGAGAAAGGAGAAGAAAATAAGATATGTAGCTGACATGTGGGCCCCATGTGCTTTGTTTAAATTGTTTTTGCTGGCTAGAATGCCACGTCAGCAGCGAAACCACCCATATATACTGCCTAGGACCTTGAGTGAACGGTTTTATATAGTTTAGGGGTGGAGATTTCTGGTTTTGTGGTTAAGGGACCTCAAAAAATCTCGCTGTTAAGTTGAGGGACCTCCAGTGAACTTATTCCTCAAATATTTGCCAGATCCAAAAAAAAAAAAAGGACCTTGGAAGATCTGAAACAAAGGATTATATGAAAATATGTCTTTGTAAAACTTTCAAATATAATTATAACTACAGTATACTTATATTGTAACTATATTATAATTTTATTATAGTAACTTATATGTTACTTTAAAAAAGTGTGGTTGTCTGGTTGATGAGCAACTAACGTTAGTGTACTTGAGGTCGCTTGTTCGAATCTTGCCTCTCTGGCCCAATAGCCTTACCTGATTACTGGGCTCGAACCTAAAGCCCAGTGCAGATTTCATAAGACTTCCAAATTTATTAAAGAAGATGTCACAAAGTGACATAGGTTGAAATCTCGCTGTGATGAAATAGTTTCGCAACATAGTTTAATAATTAAACGCTATGAGTAGAATATGAAACCACGAATTGAAACTGAATTTTTTTTATAATAGTTCACCGAGGGAAGAGTTTCCCCACCTGTATTTTTAATTTCAAAGTGAGACACAATCCGAAGTTCATTACAAATTGAGAGTTCGGAGGTTGGAAGAAAATAGTTCTTTCCAAATCATATATTACTTATATAATTCATCTCTATAAAGTGTAGTTAATGTTATTTCTCTCTTCTCTCATTAAGTCACAGCACCCCTAATTACTTCTAAACCTTGAATGATAGATCTATGGTTTAAATTGTCTCTTCTTTCTTCTATATTCCATCATAAAAACATGCAATCTCAATTATTTTTAGGCTCAAAATTATATTAAATTGTCTTAATTTTGATAATAAAATTAGATTTAATTTGTACATATTGTATAACTTAATTTTCTATAACAACGTGACGGGTATTCATATATTTGAACCTACGAATCTATCCTCGAAACCGGAGTCGCTCTAGCGAAATAGTGGCATCCTCAATACATCTCACTAGTATTCTATGTAACGGTCGAAATACCACGTCATGGCGATGGTTCCAGAGGTTTCAAAAGCAGATAAGATAGAAGATCCGGTCGTGCTTCACCGGAATTTGTAGTGGAGGTAAAAGATCAGCCAAGTCTTGACCGTCGTGATGTTGATCTAAACATTAAGCCACGTCCAGAAATCAATTGCAAATGGGCATCAGGAAACCAATCATGACCTGTCCTCTAAAAAAGCGAATGATTTCTCTAGAAAAGAAACCAAATAGAAAAAACAAAAAAAAGGAAAACAAAAATCATAACTAACTATTTAAAAATATAATGAAGCGTTTTTGTTTTTTTTACTATATGACATGACACGAGTAATTTGCTAATGCCTCAATAATAGCTGTATTTCTAGAATTCAAATTTGTCTCAAAATAGTTGTAACAACATAGTACTAATTGTCTCATCAATCACTCATAATTCAAATTTATTTCTATTTTACCCTCAAATACCCTCCCACTCTTACCTATATATACCATAAATGAGGGGTGCCATATTCTTTCATCCCAAACATTAATATACGATAAACAATCTATTGTTACAATTATTTTAGGACAAGGGTAATATACTACTCTCTTATTTCCAAATTAATCATCATATAATGAAATTTAAAATTTCACAAATTGATCATCGTATAATCGTATGGACACGGATTTCATCAGAATACAATTAATGCAGCATGGGAGAATGCATGCATGGTGTCTTAATTGATATGGTTTAGATTATTCATGGTCTTTGTGCATAAATATATGATGATCAATTTGGAAAGTATGAAGTAGTTTAAGAGGAAAAATGTTGATGAGGGTGTTAGCGGATAGGTCTGTAAACTCATTTATATAGTACAAAAGCGGATTATATTTGTACTATAATAGGGTTCGCGAGCGTGTACACTTGCACCCTTAGAGCAAGTATAATGGTGACCTTTAAGTCTATATAAGCTCTCATGCAAGAGCTAGCTTAATACAAGCTCCAAGACAAATATCTACTATTATAAGAATTGAAGTTGCTTTTGCCGGTATTTTGGTACGTCACCCGTATTTGAGTCGGTTTTTAAGTTCGTTCACTTTTAGAAATACAGATCCGTGTTTGAGTCGGATTTTAAATTCATTTGATTTTGGAAATACAAAAGGGATCGTATAAGAAATCTCTTTAAAATAACTCGCATGCTAACTTGAGATGAAAGTCAGACTCCTAATTACAGCTCATGATTTTCTAAAAAAAATCCAAGTGAATTCCCACAGTAAATTTCATCCTAGCTAAACCGTATAACAATAATAAGATTAAAATAGCATTCACCTGTTGCAACGCACGAGTATATTTTCTAGTACATTTAATATATATAAGTGAGAGATAGAGAGAGCAGAAGAAAATTATAGTCAATATTGTAGCTAATCTATTATATATATTGGCTTTAAGATAAGATAATATTACCTCCATATTTTAATGTATGAGGCCGTTGATTTTTTTTCCAACATTTGACCATTCATTTTATTCAAAAAAATTTATGTAATTATCATTTATTTTATTATGACTTGATTTATCATCAAATATTCTTTAAGCATGACATAAATATTTTCATATTTGCACAAAAATTTTGAATAAAACGAGTGGTCAAACGTTAGTCGAAAAATCAACGGCGTCATATATTAAAATACGAATACGAAGGGAGTAGTAGGAAGTGAGCTCTACTGTTATTATCCTTGCTATTTGCTGCTGATATTGTATTATTGTTTGTCCAGTAGGGGAAAAAAACCGAAAACTAACCATGATGTTGCCCCGATCCAGTTACGGACCAAAGCACCGAGCCGGCCCACTCCATCCGACGGCCAGGATCGTCCCGACCCGAATCGCTGGTAACCCTCGTGGTGGTCGCGTCGGCACTACACCTCCTCGCCCCTCCACCGCCTCCGCCTCCCCCCCCCCCCCCCCACCCCTTTCCTCTTCCTCGCGACGAAAACCTAGCCGCCGAAAAATCCGCCATGGCTCGCCGCGCCCGCGACGACGACGACGACGACGAGGTGGAGGAGGAGGACGAGGAGGAGGCGTACGACCTCGAGGACGAGGAGGAGGAGGAGGACGACGAGGACGACTACGAGGCGGAGGCGAGGGGCGGGGGCAAGGCCTCCCGCTCCTCCTCCTCCCGCGGCGGCGGTGGCGGGGGAGGCGGGGGGAGGAAGCGGTCGCGGGAGGACAACTTCATTGACGACTCCGCCATCGAGGACGACGAGGAGGATGACGACGACGACGACGGCGGGGGCCGCCCGAAGAAGAAGGGCGGCGGCGGCGGGGTGCGCGGGTTCTTCGACGAGGAGGCGCAGGTGGATGAGGACGAGGAGGAGGAGGACGACGGCGAGGGCGAGGACGGTGAGTTTGCTTTCGCGCTGTTGGATTTCCTTCCGCGATGCTTTTGCTACGAGGAACTTGTGTCATTTTTTGCGAGATCTGAACCTAATTGGGTTGGTTTCGGCAGCTGGATTTTGGGGATAACTGAGAAATTAGCAATTTTTAAGCCACTTTATACTCCAAGTAGTATAGGATCCATAGTTGGTTTTTACTCTGTATGCATGATTCAGCAGTTAGTGGATAGTGCAGAGAAATTTCGAGGGAACGGGATTCAATGGATACGTGGATTGGGTATAGAAACTATAAAGCAGAAAACAAAGTTAGTTTCTACCCCTTATGTTAATATGGACTTAGTTAGGTTTACTTGTGCTCGTAGACGATGAGTTGTGACTCAGTGATGGTGGTTTGTTAGCTAACAGGTAATTTACTGATCAAGATGCTGAATTAGCTGCATTTTTGTCCTGGATTGTTGGAAATTAGTGCTCCGTACATAAACTCCGTACATGAACTGCTGGCAGCTGCAGGCAATTTTAACTCTTAAAGATCGATTTGATTTCATTGGATGAGTGTATCGGAGCAGATTAAGTGTTTTGTTTCATTGCATCTACTACTAGTGGTATTCTTTTGATTACTTGCTAGAAGTGGATGAACATTTTAGAAGTTCAGACAATGAAGTTGATTGATCTGCCATGGTGTACTGCTTCTCGAGGATTGTAGGATCTTTTGTATTTATGTAATAAAAATATAAAAGGAAATTTGTGCAGAATTCTGGTGATGGCGACTCATGGCAGCAGTACAAATTTGACACTATTTTCCCCCTGTAATTGGTCCGCTGTTTGGAAGTTGCGGTTCACCTAGTCCCGTACGAGTTAGTTTACTACGACATCCATCCCAAAATATAAGGGATCCTGGCTATGTATCTGGACAAATAGGAGGTAATAAATGAGAAAATCAAGGCTGTTTCTCTAATGCCTTTATCTCTCCTTTGTTTCCTTTTTTTCTTCAGATTTCATCAATGATGCTGGGGCCGACCTTCCAGACGAGGATGTCGTTAGGGGCTCAAGGCATCGTTCAATACCTATGAGGGATGAAGAAGAGGATATTGATGAAATTGAAAGACAAGTAAGGGAGAGATATGCAAGATCTACTCATATTGAGTATGGAGAAGAAGCTGCTGAAGTAGAACAGCAAGCTCTCTTGCCATCGGTGAAGGATCCAAAGCTATGGATGGTGAAATGTGCGGTAGGGTCATTCTGTAGCTTACTTGACCTTCTGCTACCTTATTCTAGTTGCAAATATGCCAACTTTACTAATATGGAATTTTTTTCTTCAGATTGGGCACGAGAGGGAGACAGCAATTTGTCTAATGCAAAAGTTCATTGATAGATCAGATCTCCAGATAAAGTCAGTTGTTGCGCTAGACCATCTAAAGAATTATATTTATGTTGAAGCGGAGAAGGAGGCCCATGTCAAGGAGGTACGCATATGTTCAACATTTTATATTATTCCAAAGTGCATCCCTACTAAACATGGTTTATGCAGGCTTGCAAAGGTCTACGAAACATTTACGCTTCAGCAAAAATAACATTAGTTCCTATAAAAGAAATGGCAGATGTCCTCTCTGTGGAGAGCAAATCTGTTGATCTTTCTAGGGACGCTTGGGTTCGAATGAAGCTGGGTATATATAAAGGTGACCTTGCTAAGGTACAGTCTTCTTTTTTTGATATCCTTTCGAAATACTGACACTATTCTTGGCATGTATTTTCCAAAAACTGACAATAATATTTTTGCAGGTTGTCGATGTTGACAATGTGCGCCAAAGGGTTACTGTGAAGCTGATCCCTAGAATAGATTTACAAGCTTTGGCTAGTAAACTGGTATGTTACAAAGTTATGTTTCTGAAAATCGTGTGCTGTTTTCGTTTAATGCTTATGTCCTAGTTAGCCTGGATATTTGATGATTTATGCACATTGAGTTTGTTTGATCTTTTGAGCTTGCTGTTTTATTGATCGTTTGACTATATGTTCTGAACAATGCATGTTATAAAGTGAGATGTTATACTTTCAGGAAGGGAGGGAGGCTGTGAAGAAGAAAGCATTTGTCCCACCACCACGTTTCTTTAATATTGATGAGGCCAGGTGTTCTTTTTCACCCCTGTCATAACATCTTGTATTATTTTCCTTGTTTTTATTATTGGTTGCTAACTCTGCTGCAATCAGGGAGATGCACATTCGTGTGGAACGGAGGAGGGATAAAGACTCTGGGGAGTACTTTGAGATGATTGATGGCTTAATGTTCAAAGATGGCTTCTTATACAAAACTGTCTCAATAAAATCAATCAGCACACAGAATATTCAGCCATCATTCGATGAACTGGAGAAGTTCAGAAAACCTGGTGATGACATGAATGGGGATATGTCTAGCTTGTCTACGCTTTTTGCTAATAGGAAAAAGGGGCACTTTATGAAGGGTGATGCTGTCATTGTTATCAAAGGTGATCTGAAAAATTTGGAGGGTTGGGTTGAGAAAGTAGAGGATGAGACTGTTCACATCAGACCAAAAATATCTGATCTACCGGTAATTCCTTGCAACTTCACACATCAATGTTACTTGCAATTTTCTTGGAATGTATGGCTTATAGTTCTGTCTGATTAATCAATTAATTAGTTTTTTGTACTTACAGAAAACGTTAGCCTTCAATGAGAAAGAGCTTTGCAAGTATTTTAAACCCGGAGATCATGTTAAAGTGGTATCAGGTGTTCAAGAAGGTGCAACAGGCATGGTTGTTAAAGTGGAAGGGCATGTCTTGATAATTTTATCTGACACGACAAAAGAACATGTGAGCCTTTTCATTCCAGATTAATGATGATCTAATAGGAAATACCCACATGATATGTAGGATATAGTATATTTTAACTTTGAACTCATGATAACCGCAGATACGTGTGTTTGCGGACCATGTTGTGGAGAGCTCTGAGATCACAACGGGAATAACCAGAATTGGTGATTATGAGCTGCATGATCTTGTTCTTTTGGAGTAAGTCACCTTTCTAAATGATGATAACCATAGCTTAACTACACTATGCACCCTAATTTCTTCTAAATGCTTTTCAGCAACTTGTCATTTGGGGTTATTATAAGGGTGGAAACTGAGGCATTTCAGGTAAGTGTTGTTTTAAGTTTCGTTGTCACATTGAATTCCAGAAAATATATTGACCCATGTATATCTTTAGGTTCTGAAAGGAGTACCGGATAGACCAGAAGTTGTCCTAGTAAAATTAAGAGAAATAAAAAGCAAGATTGATCGCCGAACATCCGCAAAAGATCGGTCCAACAATATGATTTCATCTAAGGATGTTGTCCGAGTAGTTGAGGGAGCATGCAAGGTGTGTTCCATTTCACATTTATTGATGTTCTGTTTTTTAACATGACTATGTAATTGTAATACTTGTATTTATATTCTTACTGAATTAGGGAAAACAAGGACCAGTGGAACACATACATAAGGGGATATTATTTATCTATGATAGACACCACCTCGAGCATGCAGGCTTTATTTGTGCAAAAGCACAGTCCTGTCTTCTTGTTGGTGGATCAGCTGGTGGACGTCGTGGAAATGTTTGTACTGGACCAATATTAATCTTGGCCACTCATGCTGAGCCTTTTTTCTTTGCTTACTTTCAATTTGTTTTTGTTTTTTTTGGGCAGGGTATGGATACGTCAGATCCAAGGCTTGGTGCTTTGAGATCTCCAGCAAGCATTTTGCAATCACCGGGAAGGCTGCCCCCAAGAGGACCTCATATGAACTGTATAAACTTCTTTCGCCCAAACTTTCTTGCTCCTTTTGCCTGGTCATGATGCGATTCAGCAATCAACATGTTTTAAGCTGCTCTTGCTTTAGCTAGACAATAGCTTAACCAACTTGGTATAGTAATATAGACTTCTCCTTTAAAGCAGTTGGTGGAAGGTTTGGAGGAGGTGGTCGTGGTGGCAGAGGGCATGATGCATTGGTGGGCAAATGTATTAAAATTAAATCTGGTCCTTACAAGGGGTACCGTGGCCGTGTTAAAGAGGTGACTGGCGTGCTTGTGCGTGTGGAGCTTGATTCGTTAATGAAGATTGTGACAGGTAAACAATATTATTATTATTTTATGTTATCAGATTTCTCATGTATTGATAGCCTAACATCACTATCAAAACACAGTTAAAAGAGATGATATTGCTGATACACCTACTGTTGCAACACCATTCCGGTAATCCTCACTCTTATTGCATTTGGCGTGAACTGTTCAATTTTATTTGCTGACATGGGTTGTATTGCCAGTGAACCTCGTTATCCGTTGGGTGGTGAAACTCCAATGCACCCATCTCGAACACCGCTTCATCCTTACCAGACACCAATGCGGGACCCTGGAGGTTTGTTTGACTTTATCCTCATATTCAACTGTTTAGCCATTGCGTTTGAATTCATATTGTCACCACAATTCATTTGTGAGCTCCTCTTTCCTATAATTGCAATGCCCAGCTATATAGTTCAATGATTAATCATTGAGAGGATACAATCGAATTGTTTATTACTGCTTCTGGGCTGTTTATTTTAGAATACAATCAATTTCATCCAATCCAATAAATCAGACCATACAAGGATTCATTTTGCACCCCATGCTTGTCATTGCGGACAACTAATCCTCAGCAAGATGAGGAAGTGTGGCTAATTTAGTTTTACCTAGTCAAGTGAGCAATGTCCATTGCATTTGAGTTGCTATTATGAACAAATATAACACAGCAGGCACGGGCATGATCTTGTGGATGGAAAGCTAAGGTTTCATCTTTTTTGTTACAAGTTACCTCTGAACAGAGACTTGCATGCAAAGCCAATGCTGCGGAATCTGTGCTTTTCATTAGCACCTCTCATTCTCTCTTTTTTGTTTGGGTCCTTCTGCATTCTTCCATTAATTTCTTTCTATGGTGACAAGTTCTTCTGTTCTGTTCTCTACAGCAACCCCAATACACGATGGCATGCGGACTCCTATGCGTCGTGGCTGGGCTCCTATGAGTCCTCCGAGGTTGTACAGCTTATCTATATCTGATGTTCTGATCCATGGATGTTTCTGGTTTCGCTTGGCAGAATAAATAGCTTTCACCATGTTGCTTTTTATATTCCATACTTAATAGTTCCCACTCACTCTTAATGTTGGTCATGTCTTTTTGGTGATTTACCAGGGATAACTGGGAAGAAGGAAATCCTGCTACTTGGGGAAGCAGTCCAGCTTACCAGGTTAGGTGTTTGTGGTCCAGTTAATTCATTTTTTAGCACCCGTTTGGATCAGACCTATAAAGCTTGTATTTGTGTTGTAAAATTTTCAGCCAGGAACTCCACCAGCTCGGCCATATGAAGCACCCACACCTGGATCAGGGTGGGCAAATACGCCAGGAGTTAGCTATAATGACGCTCCAACTCCCAGGGAGAGCAACTACGGTAGTGAAACATATTCTGTTTTTATTTACCATATACTGATACATATCATGCTATAATGCATCAACGTTTCTGTTCTAATACTGTTTTTCTACTGTCTCTTAGGAAATGCTCCAAGCCCATATGTGCCTTCCACTCCTGTAGGTCAACCAATGACACCGAATTCTGCCTCGTACCTTCCTGGTACACCTGGTGGTCAACCGATGACTCCAGGCAATGTTGGAATGGACATAATGTCGCCTATAATAGGTGTGGTGTCATTTCTACTGTTGCATCCATAAAGCTCCTATGTATTGTGCTGCTATCTGCGTAACACAGAAGCAGGCACGAGTACATCTAATTACATGTCAAAATGTCTGCAGGTGGTGAAGGTGAAGGTAACTGGCTGTTGCCAGATGTTTTGGTTAATGTGTTGAGGGCAGGCGATGATGGTCCTGGTGTGGTGAGGGAAGTTCTTGCGGTATGTATTTGGGCTCTTCACAATTTCTCTGCAATTCTTGCTGTCTCCTGAGCTGATGATTGATGCCACTGGGCAATCTAAACTTGCAGGATGGATCTTGTCGCGTCGCCCTTGGGTCATCAGGTAATGGTGAGATCGTGACGGTTCTTCCAACCGAGCTCGAGGTTATTCGGCCAAAGAAGAGCGACAAGATCAAGATAATGAACGGCAATTTCCGTGGATACTCTGGAAAGCTCATAGGTATAGATGGTTCCGACGGCATTGTGAAGCTTGATGACACATACGAAGTCAAGATCTTAGATATGGTGATTTTGGCCAAACTGGCGAGTTGAGATGGATGTATATTTTGTACGAGTCCATCGTATAGCCAAATGTTTGTAACAGATACCCTTTGTAGTCAATAAAACGTTTTGTTATTTATTCCATTATTTAGTTGTATCCAGATTTTGACATCGAAAGAAAACTTGCCTTAAGAAAACCGTCTGTCTGCTATCCCAGTTATCTCGTTACTCTTCTCATCATCACAGCAAAAATGCCAAAAAAGTATAACCAACTACTCACTCCATTGACTTTTTTAAATATGTTTGATCATTCGTCTTATTTGAAATATTTAAGTAATTAATTCTTTTCTATCATTTGATTCATTGTTAAATATACTTATATGTATACATATAATATTACATATTTTACAAAAGATTTTTTAATAAGACGAACGGTTAAACATGTGCTAAAAAATCAAGTACTCCATAATCTAAGAAATAGCGAAGGATATAACTACAAATGAATCTGAAATGAATCTGTCTTTTTCTTGATATCATTACAGATGAATCTGAATTTGTCATGGCGTAATTTAGTTGTATCTCATGATCTTTACACAAGCATAAAGCTTCCTATCGACTATGCCACCAACTGTAAACTATCACCGAACTGAATCGATTGATCCATAGTACATGCCAAGAACTAATCGAGCATTATTTTCATCATCACGTAATCAAGTGAGAAAAAAAAAGTAAAAATTAAGCCGAGATGTCGCGGCCTGTACTGTGCTCTTGTCCTCCTCCTCGTTGTCTTCTTCCTCCGATCAGGTGACGTCCTGCTTGCACTGCTGGAAAACCTGCAGAATGTTGCGGTACGGGCTCCTCGACGACGACGACGACGACGACGAGGGCTGCTGCTGCTGCTGCGGCGAGGCGGTGGCGGCGCGCTGGCGCTTGCTGCTCGACGGCCGGGACTCCGGGCTCCGCGCCGCCTCCACCGCCTCCGCGTCCCGCAGCGCTTGCTCCGCCGCGTCCTTCCGCAGCGCCTCCATGAACGACTCCTTCACCAACCCGTCGATCTGATCAAAAGCACCACCACCCCCCGCTTGAGACGAGATCCAATCGCACAAGAAAACGCAGGTGAAGAATCCAGCGATGGATGGGGACTCACCGTGAGCGGGCAGAACTCCGGCATGGGCCACGCGACGGGGCCGGCGTCGTCGGGCGGCTCCGGCAGCGCCTCCACCTCCTCCCCGCCGACATCACCCTCCTCCTCCGCCGCCGCCGCCGCCGCCTCAACCTTGTCCTGCACGCGCCAACACCACCACACACACACAGATCAGGAACACCGAAAAACTCCAGATGGAAAGAGCGGAGATGATCTGGGGGGGGCTTCCCCGATCTATCTCAAGTAGTAGTACCATGAATCTCGCGGCGATCTCCACCATCTTTCCCCCCCTTTTGATCTCCTCGTCTCCTCCTGCTTTCCTTTTTGGCTCGAAAACGCTCGATCGACGCGGTTTGGAACTTTTCGGCCGCTTTCGTGCGCGACGGATTTGAAATCGGGTGAGGGCGTGAAAAGCGGAGGTTCCGTTCGTTTTTTATGGATCTCGGCGAAGATAATTCGGGAAAAAGGCAACGGCTACTTTTTGGTTGTACGAGTACTGGTTCCGGTAGGTCTTTGGTTAACCTGCCTGCGAGCTTTTCGAGGTAGATCCGATTTGGGGGTACAGACGAATTTGAGGCAGGCTCCGTAGCCATCTGAATTTGAGGCCTCCTGAGAATAAGAAAAAGTTGAGGAATTCAGCTTCTGTTTTATTAAAAAAATATTTTCTGAATTATATATACAACTATATATTCGTATAATCCGAATGAAAATCTGAACTATTTTGAAGGAGTTTGTCATAGCTAGAGATTATAATAAAAGCTGCAGCTATCAGAAACTCCTTTAAACATACCTGAGTTACGGTTGGTACAATTTTGAAGACCCTCTTGGCATTGGAACAAGGCTAAAACAACTTATATTAAAATAGATTTATTTCCTTTACATATTTTAAAATATGTTTTCTAAAATAATATTCTAACGCATTGCTAAAACATTTGTTTTGAAACTACTTCCCCATTTTAAAATATAGGGAGCAAATAATTTTTTATATGTTTTGTAATACAAGACGTGCAAGCACGTATTCAATTAACTAGCATATCTCCTTTCCTTTTTTTTAAAAAAATACGTCACCCTCAAGATTTATATGGATTCTATTTATTAGGGTGATCGAAACAAGAAGTTAATAATTTTTTTTGTGTTTGTGCGTCTTATATTTTGGAATGGAGGGAGTATTTGCTAAGTTTATTTCTTAAAAAATAATTTATTCCTATAATTAAATCAATAATCCGCTCAAAAATATAAATCAAATAGAGCCTTATATTTTGGATCATAGAATAGATAATGGTTGGTTTGAGAAAAAAAATCAGTTTTGGAAGTATGGTGATGTTATTTTTCTTGTTATTCATTGCAGATATCTCAAAATGTAAGGTAAAGAAGTTGAGGACATATCCGGTGAAAATGAGCTAAGTATGAGAAACTCGTGAAAATCATACCTAAAAGTTTCATAAATTCATGAAAAAAATAGTAGATAGGTGTAGATATGAAATACATTCTCACCAAATCTCAACTTCAAATTCAACTTAATTTAAGAGGAAAAAAAACAAATTTATGATGAATAGTGTCATGTTACTATTTACCTAAAATTTGTCTTTTTTGTTACTCCTAAATGAAGTTGAGTTTGAACTTGAGATTTGGTGAGAATGCATTTCATATCTACACATATCTCTAGTATTTTTTTTCATGAATTTATAAAACTTTTATGTATGATTTTCACGAGTTTCCAACACTTAGCTCGTTTTCATCGGATATGTCCAAAAAAGTTACCTGTATGTATACTATGAGGAATTGGACGAGCCAAGTCTGTGCTTGGAAGCTTTACCGGCTGAGGTAACCCTGCTACTTGATTGAGCTCTAGTTCCACCTTCACCTTTGTGTACTAAATTGACGCTGCCCCATGAAGACCACCTCACCATCACCATCCCTAGTATCATCACATTGTCGAGCTCCACCTTCACCTCCCTCAGTATCATTATATCAACGAGCTCCACCTTCGCACTCTCCTCCGCAAGCTCCCCTGGTCGTTAGAAGTGGAGGTTCGGGAAGATCGAGGAGGGGTCGCTGGTTTGAGGAGCGTTGCTCCTAGTTCAAGCTACATGGGAGAGGGAGCTGCTCATGGAAGGGGCTCGAGCTCGGCGGTGGATGTGTGGTAGAAATGGACTCATTGATAGCCCCACGAGAGAGTTAAGCTAAACTAGTTTGATGCTTCTTAGGAAAAATTTATGCAGTTGTGCAGTAGCCAGTAGAGATGGATTAGTGTTAATTAAAGAAGTGTTTTCAAAAGTAGGGATTGACTATTATCAAAGAAGTGCGCAATAGAGATGGAATTGTGTTAAAGAAGTGTTTTCAAAAGTAGAGATAGACTAATGTCAAAGAAATGTTTTCAAAGAGTTTTGACCAAAAATATATTTAACTTAATAGTTAAAAAAGATGAACTAGTATTAAAGAAATGTTTTCAAAAGTAGAGATGGACTATTATCAAAGAAGTGCGCAATAGAGATGGAATTGTGTTAAAGAAGTGTTTTCAAAAGTAGAGATAGACTAATGTCAAATAAATGTTTTCAAAGAGTTTTGACCGAAAAATATATTTAACTTAATAGTTAAAAAAATGAACTAGTATTAAAGAAATATTTTCAAAAGTAGAGATAGACTAGTGTCGAAGTCAAAATGTTTTGACCAAAAAATATTTATAACTTTGTAGTTTTTTATTTTTTTAAAGGAATAAGTTCACTTTGACTCCCTTAAATAGTGACTGAATCTAATTTGTATCCCTAAACTACACCAGATATCTCGACCCCCAACTCTTAAAACCGAAGCAACTTGACTCCCTCAGTGGTTTTGGAGGACGGTTTTGTTGACGTGGCGCCTACGTGGCGGTATTGACTTGGTCTGTATTCCACGTGGCGCTTAGGTGTCATTACAATTAAAAAATAGTGTAGGACCCATTTGTCATTCACATAAAATAAAATTATGGGGCCCACCGTGGGGCCTTCTCTCTCCCTTATCTCTCTTTCTCTCCCCTCCCTCAAGTTCCTTCTCGGTCCTCACCGCTCCCTTCTCCCTCTTCCATCTCTTTCCCGTGGCGGGCGGCGAGGGCCAGAGCGGCGGCGGGCAAGCGGAGACGCAGGCGTGGTGGTGATGATCGCGTGCGCGCCGGCGGGCGGGACGTGGTGGACGACCTCCCGCCGCGGGGGAAGGCAAGGTGCTCGTCAAGGTGTCCGCCGCCGGCGTCAACCGCGCCGACACGGTGCAGCACCAGGGCCGGTACCCCGCTCCGCCCAGCGCGTTCCCTTACTCGCTCGGCCCCATCCTCGCGCTCGGCCCCAACGTCCCCTCCCGCTGAGCCGTCGGCGACTAGGTGACTTGGTGATTGCCGTTGCTGCCGTTTGGATTAGGTTAATTGATTGGGAGATTTGTTGTTCCTTTTCAGGTTTGTGCGCTGCTCAGCGGTGGCAAGTATGCAGAGAAGGTGGTGGTGCTAGCGGGGCAGCTGCTCTTGGTGCCGGAGGGGGTGTCTCTGACGGACGCCGCCGGCTTGCTTGAGGTGGCCTGCACCATTTGGTCGACTGCTTGGCGAATTGTTCTCGTAAGATAACTTCTCTTTTTCTTCTATACTCAAGGACTTTATGATTCATTCCTGAGCACGGTGTATCCTCGATGTTTGCAGATCCATTGTGGATCGAGTGGAATTGGTACATTTTACTATACAGATTGCAAAGCAACTTGGAATTAAGGTTTTTGTTACTGCAGGTTTGTTCAGTAGGACAAAAACAGTACGAGTATATAATAGGATGTTGCAGAGATTGCTCAAGTAATGATGTTAAACTATGTGTTAAACACCACAGCCACGCCCGAGTCTTTGCTTGCCCGTCGCCGCTCCGACCCACGCCGCCCGCCGCGGGAGAGAGGGAGGAAGGAGAAGGGAGCGGCGAGGAGGGAGAAGGAACAGGAGGGAGGGGAGAGAAAGAGAGATGATGGGGAGGGAGAAAGCCCCATGGTGGGTCCCACAATTTTTGTTTAATGTGAATGACAAATGGGTCCCACACATTTTCTAATTCTAATGTCATCTAAGTGTCACGTCAACGCCACATGGAACGAAGACCAGGTCAATACCACCACGTAGGTGCCATGTCAGCGAAACCGCCCTTCAAAACCACCGAGGGAGTTAAATTGCTCCGGTTTTAATAGTTGAGGGGTCGAGATATCCGGTATTGTGGTTTAGGGATATGAATCAGATTCAGTCACTAGTTAAGGGAGTGAAAATAAACTTATTCCTTTTTTTAAAAAAAGAGTTGGCTTAGTCGTCAGTCGAGGAGAATCCATGCTCCACCCACCGGTGGAACCCCACAAACTTCGGGCTACGAGTTGGGCTTTTACCCCAAACCCACCCAGCCGGTAGGCTGGGCCGTGAGGGCCAAATCTAACTTCCGTGTTCTCTTCAAACTTTAGCAGCAGAAATGCTAATTTCTTCCTCCCCTTCTCTTCTCTTTTATTTAGCTGAGAGTAGAGGGGAAGCTACTTGGGGTCGTGAGTACCCCCGTTTTGGCATGGACTCCTGACTCCTCTGCCCGGCTAAGCAACAGCCGTATACCAACCCTTTACCCTCCCAAAGCTGGAGTTACAGGCGCACGCAACTGAGCCCGGCGAGCTGCTAGGCACGGAAGCACGTATTTGTGCTGCTGCGCGCCAAGTTCGATTAGCGGTACGGTACTAATGGCCTTAGCACGTAAGTTTTTTTTTTTTTGGTTCCGTTTCTCAGTTGCCTCGCACCTATGGCAGTCAACTTGTGGCCTTAGCACGCAAGTTTTTCTTTTTCTTGTTGCTGACTTGCATGCACAGGTCGCGGTACAAACATTGCTTTTTTTTTCTCTTTCGCATTGGTTCATCTCTCGTACTTTTCTGAAAATTCGTTCATGTTCGGTAATTTCACTTTCGATCAAAACAACCCTCCCCGCACTCCCCTCCTCCACCCCCCCCCAAAAAAAAAAAGAAAGAAAGAAAAGAAAAAAAAATCTGTTCATTATAGCGACAAGGACTCAACTAGTTGTAGCCTCCCCTATATGCAAATAGTAAAACATAAGAAGGGTATATGTGCAGTAATTAATCAAAACAAGAATAACTTAATGCCGAAGTGAAACTAACTTAATTGGTCAGGTTCCTTGTGGCGGAATCAACTAACCCGGGTTTAAGTCCTGGACGATATGTGGGCTCGCATTTACGACTAATTGTTTTTTTCGTGATAGGCGAGGCGACCAGGGTTCAAGTCCTGGACGACATGTATGCTCATATTTACGGATAATTATTTTTTCAGTGGTAGGCGAGACGCCCATAGTGACTTCGTCAATCTTTTTTCAGTGGTAGGCGAGGAGCCCAGGATTCAAGTCCTAGACGACATGTGTGCTCACATTTACGGATAATTGTTTTTTTCAATAGTAGGCGAGACGCCCACAGTGACTTCGTCAATCTCAAATCTTTCGGAGATGTTTATAGGGGTAGGGTGTGTGTGCTACATATACTTTAATCAAACTAAAATAAAACTACATATACAAAACTACAGATACTTTAATCAAACTATCGCAAAACTACATATATATTATGTTGTATCACAAAATTATAGATTTAACGTCAAATTTATGTGTGCGCCTTCATAAGGATGAGTGTATTCCTGCGTTTGTACCGTGTATAAATTTTACAAAACTACAGATACTTTAATCAAACTATCGTAAAATTACATATATCAAACTACAGATACTTTAGTAAAACTATCGCAAAACTACATATGTAGTGTTTTGTATCACAAAACTATAGTTTTGGCGTCAAATTTATCACAAAAATTATAGTTTTGAGATAGAGTATCACAAAACTAAAGATATGGTTGTTATGTGGGTTCCACGGACTAAAGCTATATTTCATTGCCACGTAAGCTCATTTTTTTTTGGGAGGGGGTTGTAAATCTGTCGGTTTGAAGAGTCGAGGGGGGAGAAATGTTTGGTACTGTAGTCTAGGAGATGAATCAAACTCACACGATAGTTCATGGAGGTAATTTAAATTTTTCCTTACCTTATTTACATGGTGTGCTTTTGAATTAAAAGTGAGGTTATGGGTGAAAGGGCCTGTAGCCTAGTGGTTACAAGAGCCTCAGAGCAAGTTCAATAGTATAGCCCAATACTAGCTCCAATTCATCTATAGCCAATTCATATAATAGTTGCTTACTATGCTATTAGTATATGGTCCCACCTGTCATACACACACTGTGTCTTGGAGTCCGTGCTCGCTGCTCTTCTCTCTCATCTTTTATCTTATTAAAATATGTTTATAGCTAGCTAATAGCCTACTATTGTACCTGCTCTCAGTAGTACCTTAGGTCCTGGGTTCTACTCCCCATGGGAGCGATGGATTGCCGGCCTAGTCTTCGAAGATGCTCATAGGGGTAGGCTAGATTGCGACTAATTTGTGAGACAAATTTTTTAAGGCTAATTGCTCCATGATTTGACTATGTGGTGCTACAGTAAACATTTGCTAATGACGGATTAATCAGGCTTAATAAATTTGTCTCGTGGTTTAATGGAGGATTTTGTAATTAGTTTTTTTAGTACCCAAACACCTCATACAACACTCTATACAACACCCGATGTGACACTCTAAAACTTTACCCATCTTATATCTAAACACCCCCATAGTTGGCAGGGGAGCGCGTTCTGCGGGGGCACGATCCTGGTGATTGGGATGGCATCATGGCAGTCGCCGTTGAGGAATCGTGTCCGCGTCAACTAGGCCAACGTGCCCATGAAGGATAAAGGGAAGAAGATAAAAGAAAATGCTGCTCAGTCGTTGTTCGCAACGCCAAACACTTGTGTTTTATCTGCGATTGCTGTCCAAACTCGCGTGTGTGTTGCAGGTTCCGCTGCTGGGTTTCACTAACAGACGTGTGTTAAGGAGTACTCCTATACATCCATAGTGTGTGTGATGTGATGTACATGAGTAGTGCTATGCACGTGCGTTTCCACGAGAAATATTCATGGTTTTTGTAATTAGATTAACTTATAATGAACGTAAAAAGGCAAAAAGTAGTTGTGCACGTGTGTTTTCACGTATTCGAAAAATATTCTTTGGTTTTACAAGTAAATTGCATTGGTGGTACACAAACTTGTTAGATGGGTGCAATTTAGTATATAAACTTGTAAAATATTCGTTTCAGTACACGAACTTGTCTAGTTTGTGCGAACGAGGACCAAAATAACTTGACAATGTTAATTTTATGAAGCGATGTTGATTAGGATGTGGCGTGCATTGAGTATGCATAGAACATCCAATATTTGTAAATTTGGTCTCTATTTTATTTTTCACCATGGAAATGATGAATTTCATATATTTCTAACATTTATACTATTGCTCGTTTTTTAAATCTTTTTCTACTATCACTATATTCTATTCTATTTTTATTAAAGAGGTGTATGTCTAATAGCAACCTTCTCATATATATGCCCTAAATCAACAATATTAGCAATATAGTGTCATTTTCGCCTTCCTCCGCACGCACCAGATAAGTTTATACACCAAAACAAGCATTTTACAAGTTTGTGCACTAGATTGTACCCACCTGACAAGTTCGTGTACCGGCGATGCAATGTATTCATTAGATTAACTTATTATTATTAACGCAAAAAAAACTTACTTAGTGTGGGTATGTGGTTGGCAGCAAGGCAACGACGAACTATTTACCGGTTGCCGTAGCTGACTCGGCTCGGAATTGGCTTGCTGTGTTACCACGAGGGACATTCGGTTCCTGGGCTAAGCTTCGCGACCACTTCATCATCAACTTTCAAGGTACCTTTTAGTATTTCACCAATTAACTTATTATTAACGCAAAAGGCAAAAAAAATTACAATTAGATTAACAAAAAAAACTTGTTTTAAGAGTTGTACTTGGTGGTTTTAAGAGGCAAAGCGGGAAACACAAACACCACAACACGACCTTGGCAACAAACATCATATGAAACGGGCTCGGCTTGGGTTGCCCCATATGCCTTATTAACCCCACACCGTAGATTTCTTCAGGTCGAGAAATATTGTTTGTTTTTACAAGTAAATTGTATTGGTGGTACACAAACTTGTTAGATGGGTGCAATTTAGTATATAAACTTGTAAAATATTCGTTTCAGTACATGAACTTGTCTAGTTTGTGCGAACGAGGACCAAAATAACTTGACAATGTTAATTTTATGAAGTGATGTTGATTAGGATATGGCGTGCATACGTTTAGTGAGTATGCATAGAACATCCAATATTTATAAATTTGGTCTCTACTTTATTCTTCACCATGGAAATGATGAATTTCATATATTTCTAACATTTATACTATTGCTCGTTTTTTAAATCTTTTTCTACTATCACTATATTATATTCTATTTTTATTGAAGAGGTGTATGTCTAATAGCAACCTTCTCATATATATGCCCTAAATCAATAAGATTAGCAATGTAGTGTCATTTTCGCCTTCCTTCGCACGCACCAGACAAGTTTATACACCAAAACAAGCATTTTACAAGTTCGTGCACTAGATTGTACCCACCTGACAAGTTCGTGTACCGGCGATGCAATGTACTCATTAGATTAACTTATTATTATTAACGCAAAAAAAAACTTGTTTTTTTTACTTAGTGTGGGTATGTGGTTGGCAGCAAGGCAACGACGAACTATTTACCGGTTGCCGTAGCTGACTCGGCTCGGAATTGGCTTGCTGGGTTACCACGAGGGACATTCGGTTCCTGGGCCAAGCTTTGCGACCACTTCATCATCAACTTGCAAGGTACCTTTATTATTTCACCAATTAACTTATTATTAACGCAAAAGGCAAAAAAAAACAATTAGATTAACACGAAAAAACTTGTTTTAAGAGTTGTACTTGGTGGTTTTAAGAGGCAAAGCGGGAAACACAAACACCACAACACGACCTTGGCAACAAACATCGTATGAAACGGGCTCGGCTTGGGTTGCCCCATATGCCTTATTAACCCCACGCCGTAGATTTCTTCAGGTCAATTGTGGCCGAGACTGCGTGTGTGTGTTGTGGGCCCTTTTGACCGGCCCAAACACCAGCAACGTACCAACTCCTAGCCCTCCACAGGCCAGAGTTAAAGGCCCACGCCACCGACCCAGTCCACTTATACTGACTAGATGCTTACGTACAAAACAAAAATATGGGCCCCACATATCATCCTCACCATTGTCTAAAAAAACATGTCATCCTCACTCTCCTCTACTCTTCTCTCTCCATCTCCCCCCTCATTCCACTAGAACCTAGAGCTCGACGCGTTGGCATAGAAGATGGAGCAGCAATTAATGGTGGGAGAGGAGGAGGTTGCGGCTGTGCACGGAGGTGGGAGGGAGGCAACTGGCGGCATAGTGGTGTTGTGCAGTGATGGCGGTGTAGTCTCG